ATATATATATATATATATATATATATATATATATATATATATATATATATATATATATATATATATATATATAATTTTTTAAAGTTTTTTTTGGATTATTATACATTAAACTATCATCTTTATGATCAATTTAATATACTTGCTGAATGAAAAACATTGCATTTCTTGAATAATATAGTGCACATTTTATAACTATTTTTTTTTATAAGGTCTATATGTTTAACCAGGCAGTTTTGTTGCTTTTGTAAAGCAATTGCATTGGCTACAGTACATTTATTATTAGTTTGTTGTATCTGCTAAGAACACACATACAGTTAAAGGCATAATTATTAGCCTTCTCTAAAATTTGTATTTCAACATTTAAAATGCAAGTGCTGTTTAACAGACAGGTTTGATCAATTTATTAAATGCAATAGTTTAATAACTAATAAATATTAGTATTCAGTTTAAAGTGCAATTTAAAGACCTAACTAGGTTAATTAGGTTAACTAGGCAAATTTGGTTATAAAGGCAAGTTATTGGACAATAGTGGTTTGTTCTGTAGCCAACATAAAAATAAAAATTATTTCTTAAATAGGCTAATAATATTGACTTTCAAATATTATTTATTTATTAAAAACTGCTTTTATTCCAGCCAAACTTAAAGAAATAAGATCCAGAAGAAAAAATGATAGGAATTACTTTGAAAATGTCCTTGCCTTGTTAAACATCACTTGGAAAAAATGTAAAAACCTTCACAGGAGAGCTAATAATGGGTCTTCCACTATGCATGCACACACACACTTCTTCTGAATGTGCCTTGTGTGTTTCAGCGCAGACCCTGCATCCACACCGGTGCATCATTGCTGCAATAAATGAACGGCTGCAAAACAACACCAGCAGCACAGAGCGCATGAAGGGAAAGTAGCGATCTATAATTCCTCTGAATGTTAATCATCTCCTCCTGGCGGAAAGCACTGCATCAGCACTTTACAAGCGGCCCGCAGACCAAGCCAAAATCAATGACAAACACAGAGGAAGAGAAAGAGAGTGCTGGAGGGAGGGCTTCCCTCACTCACAAACACCACCACTGGAATATTAAGAAGGCTGTGTGAGCGTGTGTGTGTGTGTTCATTCAGGCTTTCCCTTCTGTCTGATGTGATTGTACAGATGAACATTTTGGCACCAGGCTGATAAGTGATGATGACACCTAAACTGTAGACCAGTGTTTCCCAACCCTGTTCCTGGAGGCACTCCAACAGTACATATTTTGGATGTCTCCCTTATCTGACCCATTAACTTTAGGTTTTGGAGTCTCTTCATGCAAAGTCATCATGCAAAGGCAAAAGATCCTACTTATTAGAACTATTTTTAAAATGAGGTTATTATAACAGTGGTTAGCAGTCGCCTCAGCAAAAAGATCACTGGTTTGAGTCTCGGCTGAGTCAGATGGTATTTCTGTGTGGAGTTTGCATGTTCTCCCCGTGTCGGCGTGGGTTTCCTCCAGGTGCTCCAGTTTCCCCCACAGTCCAAAGACATGCGCTATAGGGGAATTGAATAAACTCAATTGAGCGTAGTGTATGAGTGTGAATGAGTGTGCATGTGTGTTTCCCAGTGTTGGGTTGGGGCTGCAAGGGCATCCGCCGCGTAAAACATATGCTGGATAAGTTAGCGTTTATTCCGCTGTGGCGAGCCCTGATAAATTAAGGAACTAAGTCAAAGGAAAATGAATGAATGAAACTGCCATACTTAAAAATGTGTTGAAAAAAAGTTCTTTATTTTTTATTTCTATTTGAAATTTCACAGGAGGGCTAATTATTTTGACTTCAAATGTATATATAGACTAGTGGTTCTTAAACTTTTTTCCTCAAGTACCACCTCAGAAAAAAAATGGTCTCTCCAAGTACTACCAAAATGAGCAGTATTAAAATGCAATAGCGTAGTAGAGCCAGTAAAGCAGCTACACCTCTGCACACTTAAAAAAAAACGTGGCAGATTACCTCAGAAATATAGGCTATATGTCATATTATCCCTCTCAGGCTCAAATTAGGTTTTAGAAACAGGAAAAATCTGATATTTGGGGAAAATTATCATATGGGGTAGTACAATAGAATCCAGTTTTTTTTTAGAGAGACCTTCACATGCAAGGCGTTCTGAGATGTTGCAGATTTGCAAAATTGGCCCAGTGAAGTAATTAGACACTGACGACTGAATATGATATGAACAATAACTTTTTCTATACAACTTTTCAAACAATGTAACAAATTGCTTTTCAGTGCAGAACAACAACAACAACAACAAAACAATATGGGATCCAAATCCAATATCTCAAATCCTCATTGAGTAGGTCATGTTAAGTCACTTTGTCATGTGGTACTCCAAGAAACAGTTTTTGTTTTTTGTGTCATCTGGTGAGCAAGTGGGGAAACTGTTTGTTGCTAATGGACAACCAAGTGCTGCAGTGGTACTTCTGAGTAAAAAAAACTCATAACATATGTATCTGGAGTAATAAGGTAGGTAA